ATGCTCGGGTGGCTGCGAGCTGCCGGCGGCGAGAGACCATAGACGGGCATGGGCCTGGCGTCCCACCACCCCTAGCGACCCTCAAGCCTCGCCCTTCTGCTCCGACTCGCCGGACCGACGCGATGGCCTCGGAAGTGGTGTGCGGGCTCATCTTCAGGCTGCTGCTGCCCATCTGCCTGGCAGTAGGTGAGTCTGGTCCGCTCTCCGAGGGCACTTGAGGAGGACGAGGGGGGCGCCCGGGTGGGGGACTTCCTAACAAAGTGAAGGGCTCTGGTGCTCGGGGGTTCGGTTCGCGAGGCCGGCGGCGTCAGACGCGCGCTGTCCCTGGTGCACAGCCGGGCTTTCTCACTTCCCACTCGGGCGCGCGATCGGGGTACCTCTTAACCGGATGCTCGGGATGGGCATGTGCTGGAAACTGTTTGTGTTGAATTTAGTTACACGTGGATTTTCTTTCGTGGAGTACTGACTTGTGCACTAAGGATGGCCATTGCTGTGGCTGGAAGGCGAATGCGTCCCCATCGTAGATACAGTCAGGCTCCTACCTGCGCCCCTCGCCCCATTGACCCTGCAAGCACAGCATGCTGTGCGTCCTGACGGCCCAGAGGCCATCTCTCCCAGACCCCAAATCCCAGCAACCATGAAGGAAGAAGTGAAGGACTCCGGTCATTCAAAAAAGAAAAAGAGGGACGAGGTACGGGGAGACACGCCTTGATGTTTCTTACTTATTGTTTTAAACCTCCACAAAAGCCCCCACTACAAAAGTGCTGGATACTAAGACTATAGACCCCCCAACACCTAGTCCCGCCCCCCAGCGACCGCCCTCTCCAGATTTTAAAGGGTTAGAAAGCAGGGTTGGAACTCCTTGGGACTGGCAGGGGTTCAGGGAGGACCGCAAGGGAGCCTCCTTGACGCCCAGACAAGCATTGCACCGTTTCCCCAGGACTGGCCTGGCGTGCAAAGCAACTGGGTGCTGCGTTCTGGGAGTGGGACGGTTTCTGAGCTTCTCCTCAAACAGGCAGTGCGTGCCTGTGACATTGACTTCCTTGCCTAAGAATGACGGACCCCGGCGCCTTGCTCTCACTCTCACCAACAAGAGCTAGGACGTAGAGCGCTTTCACCAAGTAGTAACTGTATTTACAGAGGGCGCGACCTTCGCAGAAAAGGCCACCTTTTTGCATCTTGACCGAGGTTGATGACTCGGCATCTTGCCAGAGGTTGATCACACCTGTGTTAAATGTTTTCTTTGTGCGAGCAATCGAATGGGGGCTCTAGTGTGATTGGTGAGGGTCAGGACAGTTACCGGGAGAATTTTTGTAACACACTTCGTGAGTGAAGAATCTGGGAGATGTCTTTTCTATAAACCTCATCGGAAAACCCAGAAAGGCGCTCCCAGTGGAAAGAAGGTGTGGCCAGGCGGGGTCCCTGGGCAGCAGGAGGGACCCGCGGGTGGGTGCTGGCCTCCTTCTCTGCTTTGCAGTTTGAGTTTCCATTTTGCAGGGGTCTAATCTCACTCGCACAGATGAAGAGCTAAGCTTCCACAAAGCGGATATGTACCTCTCTCCCCGCCAGCTTGGAAAGCGATTTGGGAAAGGGATTCTTCAGGTGCCTTACAGAGGGTGTCACTGTTCAGGGATCATCTTTGTATCCTAAGCATTTGGCACTGTGCCTGGCACATTTACTATTTGTGAATTTTGGAAGCTAGTGACCGAGTTAACAAGGGGCTTTTAGCATGAAGCATGATTTGTGATCCTCAATGCAGACCGGGGAGGGGTCCTGGGGAGTGGCACTAAGGTTAAAGGCCGCTCTCCTCCCTCCCAGTCCCCTATCGACCGTCTCCTCCCCACTGTTCCTGGAGGATGGACACCCTCTTCCCCATCCCCCGTCTCCCTCTCCAAGGGACAGCAGCTCACTGTGACTGTTGGAAGAGTTAGGCAGGTGGTTCCCTGCAGCCCACTCGGTCCACTCTGTGACTTGCACCAGTGGCGGAATGACGTTCCAGCAACGATTGCCTGCGACCTTGCTCTGAGCATAGGCTCTTGCAGGTTGGGCTCCCTTACCTGCCTCCAAGCCCCACAGCCGCTGGGATTGGGGTCCTGTCAGTCCTACTAAAGGCTGGTGGCCTGTGCTACAAACTCCTTCAGTAGGGCTGTAGTACTCTGCCCTCCCAAGGGGAGCTGACCTGGCTCACAGCATTCCCAGCTTGGGTTGCTGGCCCCGGGGTGTGGGGCAAGTGACTCTGCAGCCAGGGTGGAGGTGAGGGACTGGGGTCTGGACTCAGCCCTGCCTCTCCCCACTGGGACCCCTACACAGCTTCTTCTGTGGTGCCAGCACACTGTTCACCTCCTGCTGGCTGGCTTGTACCCCAGGGCAGGCTGGGAGCTCTGGCTGCCTGAGTCCACTTTGATCCTGGACTTTCGTGGGAGGAGCTGGGATTCCAGGGGCAACAAGATAGTAACCTTGGCCCACACGCAAACTGCTTCCTCCCTGGGGGACAGCTGAGTCTGCCCAGGAGATTTTGGGGCTGCCTTCCTTGTCCAACTCATTCTTCAGGACTCCCACACCTCTCTGAGTTCAGGGAGACTAACCTGGGTGTGTGTGTGTGCATGACTGTGTAAGAGTTTGTGTGAATGTGAGTGAGTGTATAAGTGTGAGTGTGCACATGTGTTATGAGTATGTGTGAGTGTGAGTATGAGTGTGTGGGGGTTTAGAAGGTAGTAGTCCCACTTGCTCAGCCTGGAACCTGTTGCTTTCCCATGCCCTAGGAAAAGCCTCATCCAAGAGAAAGCAGAGGAGGTGAACAGGCCCCTGGCTGGAAGAGAGCCTGAGCTCCCTGGGAGACCTGACCCTAGTGACCCCTTCACGTGTTGGGTACTTAGAACAGATGACCTGCATTCTGGAAAATTATTCACATCTTCTAATCATGATACTTACTTACAGGGATGAAAGAGGGCTGAGCAGATATGCCACCTTATATGACCATTTGATTCTTTTCTGCAAGAAGTGGAGATTTCCAAGGTTATTGGAGGGCTTTCAGGTCTGCCTACTCCCAAGGTGCTACTAAGTCAAATATTCAGGTTTCTCTCCTGTGCATAGTGAGTGCAAAGGTTTACTTGCCATTAGAATCGATTTTACATTTTAGCCATCTATTTTTATATCTGGAAAAGGCAGCCTTCAAAGCTAAGCCTTTGCAGAAGCTTACATATTTTCCTTTAAACTCATTTCTCTAACGCTGATGTTGAAATTTTCCTGCACCGAAATTCCTAGTCTTTTTACTTAATGATAGATGTTAAAAATTAACTGTATTGTGTTTAATCTAATGGTTACAGATTTTTCCCTATAAGAGAAATTTTAAGGGAAATGATAAGTGAAATCCAGGCCTCTTCAGTGCAGATGTTATGTGATTCGTGAGTGTTAAAAGCAAAACAAAACCATAATAGAATATGTTACTTACCATCCAAAATGAACACCAGTGATGGATATGCATATAGTCATAGCCACCAAACATTTTAAATATCTCCCAAATTATCTGTGACTAGTTGCTAGTCATCTGATTATTTTTCTTACACATAATACACAAAAAGGTAAAGACTTCCCATATTATGCAATCTCTAATAATTATGATAACTGATAGTTTTTGAACATTTTACAAATGTTTTGCATTTATCTTTTTATCTTTTACATTTTATCTTCTTTTAACATGATTCTACTATATCACCGATCTTTAGGTTTATGATTTTTTTTGAGAGTCAAGAAGGCACTGGTCTGTTTGTTTTTAATTCATGATCTTGATCGTTTATTCCGTCTTGCCCAGTGTTGCCTGGAGTTCCCTAATGTCTTGCCTGGAAGAAATGACTTACACATTTTCAGGGAGAGGAAAGGGGAAGCCTCACTTGGGAGAACAGGAGATTAGAGACCATGGCTGCCTGTCCCCTAAAACAGGCAATCAGAGCTTAGGAAAGAGCAGAGCAGAAAAGGGGACTGTGTCCCACAAACAAGAATCACCCAGTCAACCGGTGCTCTGAAAACAATATTCAAATCAGGAAGAATCTCTAAAACTTCCTTTAAGGATAGTTGGATTAAAGCGTGAGTGAAAATATGGGCTCACTTTTGAAATATATATCAATCATACAGCTAATCATAATTTTCTCTTTACAGCGTGATACATTTTCCTTGTGTAATATATATCATTTTGAAATCACACTTCCACACAGTCCAGAATTACAAATGAAGCTAACGTTTGTGTGATCAGCATTGGCCTCCCCTATCACAGTGGCTGTAGCTCTCAGTGGTAGGTGGCTGCAGCTGCCAAAGGATTCATGGAAAGCATTTAATAAAGTAACTTACTTTTCTGTCACGTTTTCTCAGCCTTGTATAAGTAGATACTGTTTATCAAGTTCAGAAATGAAAAAAGGGACAGTGGAAAGGATCAGAAATTTAGAGCTTATTTCTAAAATAAAATATTTCATCCACACAGATGGGCACGAGCATGTTGTCTCCTGAGCTGTGGGGGCTGGAGCTAGGTGTCCATCCGGTTGCTTTGTAAGTGTGTCTGTGTCTTTGCGGGTGATGTGTGTTTGTTTATAGTCAGAGATAAGCAGATGACTTTGGACTTTACCTTTGAGGGAGGATGATATTGCCACTGGGCAGTTTAAGAGGCTCTCATTGACATCATGGCTCTGCCCTTTACTGTGTGATTGTGGAGTTCCTTTTGTTTCTCTTTTCTTTCTGTAAAATGGAGATATTCATATTTCCTTCCTTGCATGGTTGTGATAGTGTGCACAGCACACCTTGTATAAAGCCTGACACACAGCAGGCGCTGCCTTACCTCTATGAAGATGAGCAGAGAGCAGAATGCTCAGGCGATGTCTCAGTCAAAATTAACAGACTAGGAGGTAAGAGCATGGACCAGGAGAAGCCTGACCTGAGGATGTGGGATTCATGGGACAGCAACTTAGTGCCTTCCTAGAGCCAAATTATGTGTGTGTGTGTGTGTGTGTGTGTGTGTGTGTGTGTGTGTGTGTGTGTGTGTGTGAGAGAGAGAGAGAGAGAGTGTGTGTGTGTGTGTGTGTGTGTGTTGGAGATTTTTAATTCTCAGGATTTTTCTAACCAGTTTTACTCAATATTCCAAATCTGCAGTTGCATTCTTCTGATAAAATAATAGGACTTAAAAACAATATTTAGAACAA